TGCTGCTGCTGCTCTGCTGCTGCTGCTGCTGCTGCTGCTGCTGCTGCTGCTCTGCTGCTGCTGCTGCTCTGCTGCTGCTGCTGCTGCTGCTGCTGCTGCTGCTGCTGCTGCTGCTGCTGCTGCTCTGCTGCTGCTGCTGCTCTGCTGCTGCTGCTCTGCTGCTGCTGCTGCTCTGCTGCTGCTGTGTGTCCCCTGGGAGTGCATGACAGGGGGGATGGAGACAGTGACAGTGCGAGCTCAGAGCTGGTCCTTTCGCCACCTGCTTCTGGGGTATGCAGTGTCCCACGTATTGCTGCAGCCTGGTGGGGGGGTGGAAGTAGATCTAAGGTCTGGAGGAGCATCAGTGGTCAGTGTAGGACATCTCGGGGTGCCTGGAGGTGGCTCTGTCCCCAGGGAGAGAGTCATTGCACCACAAGGGAGCTGGGGCAGGAAACTGGGCTGATGTGGCCTGTTTCATCCCAGGGAATAAGCACCCCCTTTCCCTGCCCTTCATAGCAGCTGGAAGGGGACAGTTCAACCCTCTCCATCTATTCTCTTGCAGACAGATCCTCTGCTGCTGGTAGAGGATGGGCAAGCATGTCTCTGGATCCCAGAGGAGGTCTCTCCCTAGCCTGACTGGCATAGTCGATCAGAGATGCCCAGCACAGATCCAGTAAGCCATTCCAGCCCCATTCCCAGAAGCATGCACAAAGCTTGTGGCACGGTAGAGTGCCAAGGGCAGCCTAGCTATGAGGCACAGGAATGCACCAGCCATGGAGCCCTTCCCCTGCCCACCATCAACTGCCACAGCAGCACCAGACTTCATCCATGGCAGTGTGGCAGCAGCTTTGCCCAGTGCCAGAGAGCCAGTCTGCCATTCCTGGTCTGTCACTCCACCATGCTGCTTCCATGGAGTCCACTGGCAGGGGCAGCCTGGGGAAGCCATCCTCCCCCTTGGGGCACACCCCTTGGCTCCAGCCCTGGCAGGAATTATTAAGTGTGCCCCTGTGGAGCATGTGCTGAGGCTGGCCACGGGAATGTGGGCAGATCTGACATACAAGCCACAGCAGCCAGGCTGTAATTTCCAAACAGGCCCCATTCGCTCTGTTTTCCAGTTAAAAATATATTAAAAAATAGGAATGTGGGATTTGTAGTGAAGAATGTTGGTAACCGCTTCGAATGTCTGGTGTGATAATGAAAGGGTCAGTCCCCAGCTTTGAGCATGACCGATTTAGACTCTGGTGCTTGGCAGTGGCGCGGGGGCCCAGCATGATTCAGCCTGCCTGCAAACCCATCCTGGGCCAGGGAAAGGTGATGCTCCTGTGCTGGTGGCATGGTGCTGGGCTGGGTGATGTGCCCCTTCTGCTCATACTGTCAAGAGGACATCCAGATTGCTGTTCCTTTTGGCCCCTTGAGAAGAGAGTCTGGGCAGGGGGTGGGTAAATGCAGAATGCCTTGGAGATAGATTTTGTACCCTGCCCACCACTGACCCTGCTGCGTCTCTGCACTGGGGTGCAGCCCCACAGCAGAGGCCTCTGGGCTGGGGGTCACTAGCGAGGCTGCAGCACAGCTCCCCCTGAGGTGCCCCTCCACACGGTGGGGCTGTCAGTGAGCTCACAACTTGCTCACTGAGGTTGGGCACCTGCCCCCCTGTGCTGGGCACCCCCCCTTCCCCAGTCACAGTTCAGGGTGTGCTGTGGAGTCTCCCGTGCCGCTACCGCAGCCTTGAGTCCCTCCTGATACTGGGGCATCCCACTTGGCCTTGTGGCCAGGTAGTCATAACAGGCCAGACAAGCCATGCCAGCTCCAGAGGCATCACTCCCTGCTGCCTGGCGACTCGTGTGGGGCACCCCAGCCAGCACTCCCCCAGCTGCCAGCTCTCTGCTGCTCTCAGCTCCCCGGACCTCAGACATCATGTTTATCCTGGAGATGGGTAATCAGGGAAAAACAAGTCACCAGAGGCCAGGGCTGATGTTGCAGTGGGGACAACTTGTCTGCAGCAGGGTTCAGCGTCGGAATGGAGCAGTGGGGCAAGGAGGAAGGGGAAAATCAGCTGTAACCAGGGCTTCTCCCCCATCCAGCCCTTTAGGGGACACTTCGTTGTCCCTCTCAGCCTTCGAGGCCATCAGGTGGCCGGTGGCTGGCACAGCACGCTCTGCTCCCTGCTGAGTCATAGCTCTGCAGGGAAACGCTTCCAGCTCTGGTTATAACCCATTTCCCTCCGGGGCTGTGAAGCGCAGCCTCCCAGTCCCGCCGCGGGCCAGCTCCGGCCACCCCATGGCCCTGAGCCCGCGGGCTCCAGCCGCTGGGAAGGGCAGTGGCAGGAAGTGGCCGCTGACTCCCAAATTCCACCCTGGGCTTGCTGGAGCTGAGCCCTTCCCGCAGGCGTGGGCAGCAGGTGCCCTGCACCTGCAGACCCCTGTGCCAGCCCGGATGCCAAATCCCCTCGGTGGTGCTGGGCACTCTTCTCCCACTGCCTCCCCAAGGTGCCACCTCAGTGGGTGGGTGTGTGCTGCTCTTGGGGACACTAGGTGGCTGCCAGGATGGTTTACCCCATCTCCAGGGACGCCATGGGGACACTGTGCTGGCTCTGGGCAGCTGGGGCTGAGCACTGAGTGAGCAGCTGCCCTGCCAGATCCTTGCTTGAATGCTGTGAAGCTTGAGGAACCCTGGGGCTTGGGGCACATCCCAGGTGCCATCCTGGATGGGTTGGAGCAGAGGGGATTGGGCAGCACCCTGCACCCCTGCCCCATTGCCCTGGCATTCCCCAGGCATGCATTGGTGACAGAGAAAGGGGGTGAATGCCATAGTAGTGGCACCCAGAGCTGGCCAGCTCTGCAGGGGACTCTCCTGCCCTCCTGGGGCACTGACCCACGCAGTGCTATCTAGCACACTTTGCTCACTTCACTGCCATTCCTGACTTTCCTGGGAACTGCTGTTTGCTTTTCTCTGAATTATGACTCCAGCTTGTGCCTTTGATCTGGGTTGTGTCGGCCACCCGTGACCAGGCCCTCTTCTGCCTTTGAAGTGCAGTCACCTTCCCAGCCTTGGATGCTGCTTTTGCAACCTTGGGTGCAACCCTGGCTCTGTGGGGTGAGACATGCAGGGCAAGAACATCTTTGGGGTACCTGACGTGCTCAGCATTCCTCCTCCTCTCCGGAACCTGGTGATGAGCCAGCACAGCTAATGGCTCGGAGGCTGGGCAGTGAGGCATCAAGAGGTGTGCTAGCCCCGTACCAAGCAATCCCAGGGATGCTGGTGGGATACTGGCAGCAGAACATTGCTCCCTCCGGTGGTAATGAGCAGGGACAGAGGAGGTGATCTGTATAGCAGCTGGTCAAAAAGCAGATGCCAGTGCCATGCATTTCCTACAGCCAAAGGGCCTTTCATGCCTGTGAAAGCAAAAGAGATGCAACCTGCATGGAAAGTGTCTGTCTGGGCACCAGCCAACCCGTCCTGGTGTCAGCCCTCCCTGTCTGGCGGGGAGCAGTGAGGAGGGCTCAGCCTACCTATTCTGCCACTGGGAAACTGGGGTCAAGCTTTGGACTCTGGCCTTGAGTGGGTCTGAGCGTCCCCATCCCCTCCCCACTTTCCTGGCCCAGAGAGGATCCTACCTTATCTGTTACACTTTGTTCTCCTGCTGTCTGGGTGTGGAGCAGGGCAGAGATTAGTGTGTTCAGACCTTTGACACACACACACACACACACACATGCACACACACACACAACCAGCCATGCATGCACCCGCAGCCACGCTCATCTGCACACTGCTGCACGCACAGTCCCTACGCACGTCATCCTGCTCACACTCAGCTGCACTTGTGGGCCCACACTGTGCCCCCTGCAGCACCCCCTCCGGGGCACATACGCTTTTCCCCATCCCTGTGAGTGTTTGTTTGAGCACTGTGAGCTATGTTATGTTCCCAGTGGAGTGTGGCGCTTCCTCAGCCTGCCAAGATCTCTCATGTGCATCAGCATGGCCCAGCTGGAAAGGTGGCATCCCACTGGCACAGGGTGCAGGCAGGAGGAGGGGGGGCTTCCCGTGTCAAGTCTGGAGGGAATAAAAGTGTGTGCAGGGAGGCAAGAGCTGTTCTGGCAGATCAGGAGCAAACCTGGGCATCCCTCATCTCACTGTCACATCGTTTTCACTTTCTGTGCGGCCACCGGAGATGCCGTGTTCTGGAGGCTGTGGTGGGCTACCTGTTCCCACCTCTTGCTAGGTCATGTCCCTGTCCATATTCACAGGCTGCAGCCTGTGCTGCTCCAGGCAGGGAAGCCACAGCCCTTCCAGAGTGATCTTATCTCCAGCATTTCATGAATGACCCAAAAGCCTCTGCAGTCTGCCTCTCAATGGGAAGGCAACCCACTGTCCAGAGCAGGGGTGCGTGTGTGTGTGTGTGTGTGTGTGTGTGTGTGCACAGCTGGGAGCAGCCACATCCCACCCAGTGCCAGAGCTGCCTGTTCCCACAAACTGCTGCAGTCCTGGGGTGAAACAGATGTAGCCTGGCAGGCAGAGGGGGCACAGCCCCTTCTCTGCCCCACAGCAGCACCATGGCAGGGTGACCTGGCAGGTGATTTCCTGGCAGGGTGATGGTGCCTCTGCTTTCTCCCACAGACCCTGCCCCGGATCTGCGGTGCGGGAGAAGGGCAGGCGTTTGCCTCTGCTCTGCAGCAGCTCTACACTGCAGTGACACAGCAGGAGGCCAAGCAGGCTCGGAAACGGCATTGCTCTGGTGAGGAGCTCCTTGGCTGTGGCATGGGGAGCATGTGATGCAGCTGTCCCCTCAACTGCTGAGCCCCATATCCTGGGGTAAGAGAAGTGTGGCCCCAGGTGCAGCTCACTCCATGCAACAGTCTCCCCCTTTGCTTTCCCCCCCATGGGCTGGGCTCACAATCCAAGCACAATTCCTGGAGTGGGTTTGGGCAATGCCCCATGCCCCTTTATCTTAATCCCAAATTGCATCTTTTTCTGGTACCAGAGGACAGCGTGGATACAGCACCCATTGCAGAAACCACGGAGCACCCCCATCCACCTGCTCCATCCCAGGAAGATGAAACGACATCTTCCAGCGAGAGAACCTCGGTGAGTGCAGCTCTAGGAAGTCTCCTGTACCAAAGGCAGGATGGGGCCCACATCTCCTTTCCCTCCTCTCATCCAAGCACTGTGCCCATCCAGGATGGGCTAGGAGTCTCAGCTTGGTTCCTAGCCCATTCTACCCCATGCATCCTGACTGGGGAGTGTGTGATTGCACATGTTGCACTGCATATTTTGCAGTCCCACAACACGGATGACAGGAATGTCACTGCTTGCACGCTTGCACACATCCTGCATGACTCCCCAAGGTGAAACTGACACTGCCTCCTCTTTGTTTCCAGCCAGCCTCCTCCCCATCTCAGAAGCCCCAGCTGCCTGCAGCCAAGGCCAAGCCAAAGAAGGCAAAAGGGCTCTTCAGCTGAAAGATTGCTGAAGGCTCTGCTTCCCCCAGCATCCAAGAGATGGAGTGCAGAGCAGCCATGCATCGTCTGCCTCTTCTCTGCATCTCCTGGTGGACCCTACCCAGGTCACGGTCCCCTCCCAAGATGTCTTCAGTTGGGCAGATGGAACTCCTTTCTTCAACAGTGTTTCAGGAAACAGCTTTTCTAACTCTTCCCTGGTCCAGAGCTCGCCCAGGCTTCATCTCATGGCAGAGCCAGTGCAAGACATGGGAGAAGTGGGAGGGATGCTGCCAGTGGGTGTGGGACAGCTGGGGCTCTGGCAGAGCCAAACTGTGGGGTTTGGCTGCTCTTGAGTGGGTTTTCAATAAAGGGCTGTGTCAGGGTGAGATTCCCTCTCTTGCTCTGTCCCACCAGGCCTATAGTGTCTAGGAAGGGATGTAACCTCTGGTGCTGCTGGGTCCCCCTCAGGCCAGTCCTGATGTCCCAGGGCCTTGCACTGACTCTGGACAGCGAGGTGACAGCAGCTCATTGCTGGGCACAGCACACAGCTCCCAGCCATGCTGTGCCTCACCCTGAGCAGCAGTATGTGTTTTGGGGTGTGCACAAGAGGATGCCCAGATCATGGGGGCACAGCATGCTGAGGGGGCTGAAGCCCATGTTCTTGTCCCATACCAGGATACACACTGTGTGCTGGTGGCTGCAGAAGCAGGCTGGCAAAGGCCCTGGGTAGGCTGCAGAACACCCTACATTTGCAGGCAAGAGCACCATAGTTACTGGGCAGGTGATAGAGGGTTGATCCACACTTTGGCCTTCAAGGAGCAAGAGACAACCAACACTGAATGCTGCCAAGCCTGGGAGCAGCCCTGGAGCAGGTTACAGATGCTCCCTGGACACAAAACACCACTTCCATCACTTCACACTCCATCCATCCATCCATCCATCCATCCATCCATCCATCCATCCATCCATCTATCCATCCATCCATTCCTGCTCTCCTCTTCCAGCCCCTCAGTCCACATGCTTCCTGGGACCCCATTCCTGTGCCCAAGCCAGGACCCAAAACAGCAGGCAGAGAGCCAGGCAGCAGGCAGGCTGCAGCCAGTGGTTCTGCTCTCATGGGATGGGGACCCATGCCCCCAGCTGCCCTGGTCCCTGGGCTAGGCCAGCTGCAGTCATGCTGCCTGTTCTCCTGGGCAGCAAGGGGGAAACAAAAACATCCGGAGCAGTCCCTGTGTCTGTGGAAGGGGAATTAAAGGGCTTTTGCTGGGCCACAGCCGACCAGTCCCAGGGTGAGTGCAACCAGTTGCTTTTTATATTTCCTTTCTGAGGGAGCAGCATGCAGGGCAGGGTGGGTGGTGAGAAGGGAAAGCCATGGGATGGGGAGCTTGTGCCGACTGCCATAGCTTACATATCCTGCATTTTCCCATCTGCAAACATCTTATCTTGGCAGCTTTGAGTCTCCCTGCTGGGCACATGCCCCCAGAGAGGTCCTGCTACTACCTGAGGGGTGGGACCAGGGCAGCAGGAGCTTAGCAGCTTAACAGTTTCCTCTATCTTCTGTCACCAGGTTGTCCCCGGTGCAACCCCTGCCCCATCCATATGGAGTCCATCTCTGGCACAGGAGCTATTCTGTTGTGAGCCTGGCTCCTCAGCTCCATGCTGGCTCTGGGGTTTCTTCTGTTCCCCCATGCCTGCCATCACATTCAGAAGGAGTGCTTATCACCTAGTGAGGGCATCTGGCTTGTCTGTCCCCTTTGGGTCTGGGGAGACATCACAGGGAGAGGCAGGGCTGAAACACTGGCTGTGCCAGTGGCTGGTGTACTCTATAGGGGAGGAGTGGGTGGTGCAAACCAGCACCTGCACCCCTGGGTCATTCCTGTGAATTACTGTGTCTCTGCTTCTCCCTGGGGTACTCAGCTCAGGGAAGCCAGTCCCAGGATGCTGCAGAGATGTTGCTCCTGAGCCCTGTCCTGCTGCAAAGTCTCTGGAGTGTCCAGCAGCCCTGAAGACCTGTAGCAGGGACAGATTCTGTTCCATTCACCCCTCTCCGAAGGCAAGGGGAGGTGGGGATGCAGGAGGATGGATGGGGGGTAAATAAAAGCAGGGGAGTGAAGGCAGTAGGAAAAAGAGCTTTGCCAATGTCCCCCAGGGAACCGCAGGGACCCTGGCCCTCAGGACTCTAGCTTGGGGTCACTGGTTCCTTCCTGGCCCAGGCTGTCGCCAGCTCCAGGGAATGTCACTACACATTGTCCCATCCTGTCCTGCTGGGGTCTCCTTCACTGTCCCCACCCCCTCCTCCCTGGAGCCAGCTGGATTTGAGCTCCCGACACACATTAAAGGCCACAAGTTCGGCCTCGGCCTCCATAAATTTGATTCCATAAATATTAGTTTTCGCAGGGTTTAATGAAGCCGTTATGCTGGGCACGGCCCAGCACCCCGACCCGTGCCCTTAATAAGGGCTCTGTGGCCTCGATTAAAGGGACCTTTCAATCGCTGTCAAGTATTTTTAGAAAAGGAAAAGAAAAAAAAAAAAAGAGAGAGAGAGAGGGAGAGAGAGAGAGAGAAGAAGACGACCAAGGCAGCGAATAGGGAGAGGAAAATCCCAAACCCGTCCAGTGCAAAAATAGAGAAATAGCACCACCTAGACTGCCTGGCTCGGCTCCGCCGCCCGCTCCCCCTGCGCAGCGCCCAGCTCCGGGCAGCCCTGGGAGCCCAGCAAGGCGTGTGCGGGATGCTGCGCTGCCGCTCGGGGCAGGGACAGTGGGATGCGGTGGTGGGGAGAGCCCGAGGGCAGAGGAAAGAGGCGCTGGTGCCCTGTCGGAAGGCAGGCAGGAGCAGTGTGTCCTGGAGTGCAGGCCAGGAGCCCTGGTGGTGCCTGAGAGCGAGCGAGTGTTGAGGGAAATGCCGTGTGATCCAGGGACAGATGTTGCAGCTCTCCCACCTCCACTGTAGCAGCAAGGGTCCCTTCCCATCAGTCGCCTTCCCCAGGCAGATTTCTCCCTCAAGCACTAGTTATCCTAACGCAGTCTCAGCCTGCAGCTGCCTCCCCATACACTCAGCTTGGCTCCTTTATTGTGCCTGATATCCCTGTCCCACTCGGCCCTGTGTGCCCGCAGGCTTTGCCAGGCAGGAGAACTGGCTGATGCTGGGAATGCTGCATGGAGAGGTGGTGGACTCTGCACCCAGCAACAGGGCACTGTCACTGCTTGCTGTGGCCAGAACCAATGCGCAGTGCCACGGCCCCTGCATGGGCACAGCAAACCCAACGCCCTGTGGTCTAAGCTGGGCCTCCATAGGACGTGAATACTATTACCAGCAAGGGCAGGGCTAGGCTGCTTACTGTGAGCCTGGACCTGCTGGGAGGGGGACTGCGGCTTGTGCCACGCACACTGCATGCTGGCAGGCTGCAGAGGTTATTTGGAGGTCTGGGTTTGTGACATTGGCATTCATAGGGAACTTCTCCCTGGGGAAGTGCTGCAGCCTCCAGATGCAGTGCTATCCCACATCATCCTGCTTCACAATCTTGTGATGCTCAAAGTGGGAAGCTAGGCTCCTTTTTTTGGGAGTACAAACCACCTGGAGGATCCTGTGAATCTAGTCCAGGGTCCATAGGGTCTAATTTTCCTGGGCTAGTGATGCACAGAGAGTTGTGTTCCTTCTGCATCCCTGAAGAAGCCAGGGACAGGGGTGGAGAATGGTGCTGTGGTACATCCCCTGTGCTCTCTCTGATGATGCCCTTAGGATGCTCCAATGGAAGGATCAACCAAAGAAGTGTAGAAGTGGGGTGGCCTGGGGCTGCTGGTGAGACTCCCTAGCTCCATCATGTACAGGAGCAGTGGGACAGCTGCATCTCACCGTCCTGCTCAGTGGCAGGTCTTCACAGAGGCTTTGGGCACTGGTTTTGGATATGCAGTATGAAAACCAGTACAAAAACCTGATGGACCATGGCTACTGAGTATGGAAATCTGATGGAGAAACCTCTGGCCAGCTGCACTTTGATTGCAGGTCCTGCAAAGGAAATGGTCTGCCAGAGGCGTTAGATAGCAGCATCCCAAGTCTGTGGCTGATGCTGGCTCCCCAGCCTGCATCCTTCCTGCCCAGGTTGCTTGGTCAGCTGAGAGCAGCAAAGCCCTGCAGCCAGAGCTGGATGTCTTGCAGTGCTATTCCAACCTGGCCACTGTGTATCCCTGTGAGTGACCTGTGCCCTGCACTCAGGGAAGAGCTGGTGAGGGAACATCCCTGAGAGAGTTTGTGTGTGTGTGGGCATCCCAAGGCACTGCCTCACCTGGGAAGATCCTAGGGAACCAGAGGGTGTGCAAGTGGACCTGTGCAGGACCCCTCCCCGGCACACAGCTGGTGGAGAACCCGGGGGGGGGGGGGCCTTCAAACCCTCGCTCCTGAAATCAGGGTGTTATATTTACTTTCCCCTTTTGGCAGCTAGAAGGGGAAGCCCATCCCAGCCCCTCATTGTTGTCTCAGCGAGTTAATCAGATGCCATAATCCTGTTGTGGAAATATCGGGCCTCCCTGGAAACAATGGGGAGCGAGAATATTGTGGTTAAATTTCAACCAGCTGCCTCCCTGCTCTGTTTGATCCCCGCCCGCAGGCCCGGGCCCCTGGCGAGCAGGCGGCGCGGCGGGGGCCGGAGCCCCGGGGGTGCCACCCCGAGCCCACTCGGCCGCAAGGGAGCCCCCGCAGGACGCCCCGCCAAGGGGG